CCCACCCGGTTGCCAGAGACCTTACATGCCAAGTTACATGGGTTTTACACACACACACACACACACACACACACACACACACACACACACACACACACACACACACACACACACACACACACACACGCAAACACACACACACACTAACACACACCACACACACTAGCACACACACTAACACACACTAACACACTAGCACACACACTAACACACACACTAACACACACACTAACACTAATACTAACACTTTCAAAATCCTGGATCCGCCTTTGAATACAGATCCAAACAGGGTCATATTTTATTGCACGCATGCATAAGCCAATTAAGCAATGACGCATATGTTTGGCTTACAGAGGAATCAGTAAATATTATTTGCTTGTTTGTGGTTTAACGCCACACTCAGCAATATTCCTGCTATGTGACGGCGGCTTGTAAATAATCCAATATCGTTAGTGTAAGAATGAAATCTAATGTTATAATAGCGCACCTGTCATATATCCTGCCACAGTGATTTGTTTGATTAGGTGGGTGGCGAATAACATGCTTCAATCGTGCATTTTTTGTCATGTTGTTCACAACGACAACTAAGATAGTGTTTAGTATTACTATATTATGAAATTGCCTTCGTGTGCGCATGCGCATTGGCACAATTGTGTATCTGTCTATCCACATCACAAGCGTAGCTTTCCTTACATTCAAAAACAGTTATCACTTTTATGAAACCCATGAACACCGCGATGCTTCTGACAAGTCAGTTAATAATCGGGATGGGTGTGTTCTCTCAATGTGAGGTGATTGAGAGATGACAGAGAGGCGATTGAGAGTTACACCTCGTGACGTCGCACACATATGGGTTACGATATGCACTGTTGTTGTGTGTGTTGCAATACGTAGACGAAAGGGGACCAATCTCATTAAAATCAGATTTAAGTTCTCGCTATCGCTAAACAAAGATCTGAGAACATCCCATTACGGGTCATTTTGACCGACCAATGAAATGACTGACAAGAAATCGACATTAGCCAATCAGAAGGCAGCTACGACACTAGTTTCAAACTGGCGACTACGCCTCGAAACATATTTTGACGTATTCTCGATTAAAATTTTAAAGCTGATAAGAAGAACATTCTGGAATGGCTAAAAGATGGCCTAGATTGTAATGGATATAATCATAAAACCCGTAACTGCATTCGGAATACCCCGTGTTAAATATTTCGTGGTTGCATGATCAGAAAACACATTCCGACTGTCACTTTCATGATCCGGTAAGCGACGCTCTGATTGGTTGGATGAAAAGGTCGTTCTGACGTGACCCGTAATGGGATGTCCTCAGATCTTTGTTTAGCGATAGCGAGAACTAAGATCTGATTTTAATGAGATTGAAAGGGAACAAGATGTAAATCTACGCAAAGGGTGTATTACGCATTATTAGAGACAGCTGAGAAACGTGAGGCTTCTTCTCCGGAGTGACAACAAACTCCCCACAAGACTGTATGACACGAGGATGACTTCAACCTTCCAATAGTCACCGTCCCCTTCTTGTCCAGCAATATTCCAGCAGCTCCAGCCGTTGATGTTTTCATGTCACGCCTTTTGAGGTACAATCGAGCATTCGCAAATTGCAAAGAGCGCTATTCGACCTTTGCTCAAAAGCTGTTTAACCAACGTTACAACATTCAAGGTCTTCAAAACGTTTATGGTAGACGTGTGGACTTTTCCAAAATTGACGCACCAACTACTCAAATGATATCCCATGCAATCACTATTTTCACTTGTGCTAGGTTTTTCAGGTGAATACTTGCCTTGCCTTTGAGTGTATTTGTGACGGCCAGGGCCACCGGTGGCACAGGATACGCTCACCTTTCGCGAACGCCTGGTTAAATCACTGTTTCATAGTGAATAATAAATACAGACTCATGATATAGTAAAACATAAAATGGACTCAACTTTTAGAAAAGATTTCTTAGGATTAAGGAAAGGGTTCTGTCGCTTGTATTTATTATTGTTTCCTACTGTGGCATCATGTTGATTGCAGGAGAGACAATACGTCTCCACCAAAACTCAACCAAACTTAAAAGTATTACGATCTTGGTTCCCAAACGCAACAAACGTAAATAGTTCAGAAGAAAATAATGATTTTGGTCAGTGTAGTCTGTCAATCGCATTAAAATCAGATCTAAGTTCTCGCTGCCGCTAAACTTTGTTTAGCGATAGCGAGAACTAAGATCTGATTTTAATGATTGAATTTAATTGTTAAACTCTGCTGCTCTTGCAGCGCCACAACAAACTGACATTAGGGTGTACAGGCAGCGGAGACATCATTATCTCAGGAAGAAACATGACCACTTTGCCAGAACCTCTCGCCTGTACCCATGCCATAATCAACATGACCCGCAACAGGCACACGGGGGGAACAGTGGACAGGTCTAGGAGCGGCAGAAGTACTCTGCATTGTGGGTGCAACTGATGTTGTTTTTTCACATTCACATACCATCGTTGAATTGTCTTGTCTCTTCCTGAACGCAGCGTCTTTCTTGGTTTGGTTTATTTTGTCCCTCATAAAAGAGCGTGGGGTGGGGGGTGGACGGGGGATTAATTGCCCACAAAGAAAATTATGCTTCAGGCTGTCGAAATACGAAATAAACCAGAAAATCAATATCTGGTTATGTAGCTGCGGTTGAGAACAAATCTAATCTCGATACAAAATACATCCCCCCCTCCCCCCCCCCCCCCCCCCCCCCACACACACACACACACACTACACCTATTTTAGTAATTTTATAATGACACAAAACAGCATGGATTTCATTAACGAGGTATTGTCAGGGAGGCAGATTAGAGCTACATGTGTGATGCAAACACGTGCGTTGCTATAGAGACGTGAAGGATAATTACGTAGATTAAACTACACAACAAACAAAGAACATGACGTGAACTCAAGTAGCCATCTAACGTATGATTATCCGTTTAATAATATCATTATGATGATGCTATAATGAACTCACTGGTACACGTTCACATAACTATTTACCCCATCACAAATATTGGTTATCCCCTTCACAAATTGGACTCAGATCCACAAAGATCCGGGTAGACAATAGGTCTTCAGCAAACCATGCTTGCCGTAAAGGCGACTACGCTTGTCATAAGAGGCAACTAACGGAATCATGCTCGCTGACTTCGTTGATGCATGTCATCGTATCCCAATTGCGTGGATCGATGCTCATGACGTAAATCACTGGATTGTCTGGTCCAGACTCGATTATTTACAGACCGCCGTCATATAACTGGAATATTGCTGAGTGCGGCCTTAAACAAAGAGAAAACGAACCACATTTGCCCTGACCCGTACACTACTGTATAACTATCAGCCGAACACAAAAAAACATGGCTGAGTACTCGTTCACAGATATTTTCGAAACACTTTGGCACTGGAATTCAATAAAGTTGTGATAATTCTGTTTGTTTGTTTATTTGTTGTTTAAAGCCTCACTCAGAAATATTCCAGCTTTTTTTACGGCGGTCTGTAAATAATCGAGTCTGGACCAGACAATCCAGTGATTTACGTCATGAGCATCGATCCACGCAATTGGGATACGATGACATGCATCAACCAAGTCAGCGAGCCTGACCACCCGATCCCGTTAGTTGCCTCTTATGACAAGTGTAGTCGCCTTTACGGCAAGCATAGCATAGCATAGCAGGAACACCCATCCTAAAGTTGTACCCTATGTTAAATCTATGGAGAATGTCTTCTTTTTGTTTTGGCTTACACAAACTCAAATACTCAGAATGCAATACCGGAAACAACCGATCATCTGATGTCGTGGTTTGTAAATGGTCCACAGCAATGCTTGTGTGACGAAGTTTCCTGCTTCTTGTAATCACATGATGTGACTCAGTACGTGCGACCACCTGCTGAAACACATACAACAGTGTTCTTATATAACAAGGGACGATGGGGTAGCTCAGTGGTTAAAGCGTTTGTCCGTCACGAAGAAGGGCCGAGTTGGATTACCCACATGGGTGCAACGTGTGAAGCCCATTTCTGATGTCCCCTGCCGTGATACTGCTGGAATATTACGTAGAACCCTTCTCGCTGACTCACTCACTTACTCTGAGTGAATCGCATGTAGACTTTTTCTTTCAATACCTATTTAGATTAGTGCTATATATTCTGTTGATTCAAATTATATTCTTATGACATATGAACATTGATCACAGAAATGATATGTTACAGTCCATGATGGTCTTTTATAATTAAAGTGTTTTAGCCAACTGTTAGAATGTGTATTTACGACAAGACATTATTTTCCTGATGATTTATATCCACCATGAAATGTTTATGAAATAAATACCAATTTCACCATCATTTTTACATGCATACCCTAGATCGATGATTTCAAATTTTGTAAAAAGTGTGTACGTGTATAGAATTTAATGAAACGGGTTAATTAAATGGTGAATATTGATTAAACTTTAGAATTAAATCCAGGGAAGGACGTAGATAATAATAAAAGAATGTGTTTTAGAATTTTCAAAACTGCCCATCATACTGGGAATAACTTACAGACTCTTAAAAAAACTTTTAAACTTTAGATGTATAACTACTCTAAGCTCTTTAGCATTGGTGGACGTTGGTACATGTGTGCATGAAAAAAAGCATGTACTACTACATAAAACCTTTTTATCGTTATTAAGAATATAAGACGACCTTTTCGCTTGACCTTCAGTTGCCGTTTTCTCCAGATACAATCGGTGACCTAGAGCTTTAACTGTGGTCCCGTTTTAGCCTGCACCCTCCATGAATCTTTAGGACATCGTTTCACTACATAGATTCAAAACATTTACATTTTTGAAGGATTTACAAAGAATAGAAAGGGAGCTTAGCTGAATAGTTTCTCTTTGGCGTATCTGCTCGGTTGCTATGTAGGATTACGCATGCGAAACAAGAGAGGTACTGCGGGGGTATTGCTTTAGCCCAATATGGTCAAAGGGGGGTAACTCTAATTCTCAAAATACTGACTACTGTACGATAAGTCGTTACATTCACATCATATCACGCGTAACCTTGAATAATGAAACATTGATTGTTTCGAGTCTACTCCCTCCAACTTCGCCATATATGTTTCATGCATTCAATTCTAGCCATTTCAAGGCCTTGGTCATATTGTAGAGCTTTGACCAAGAAACTCGCATATAATCGAGAATTTGTAAACAAAATGGCGACAAGGGGAGCTGGGTTCAGTGGAAATGGTCGTTCTAGCCCTCGATTAAATGGATTTGATCGAATCCCAAGACCGTTTCTCATCGGCGTTGCTGGCGGAACAGCTTCGGGAAAGGTAAGAACTTGGTGATGCGGTAATATACGAGATCGCTGACTATTACGTAACACATTTGAAGGCATTGTTTACAATCATGATAACGCATGGTCCCTCAGACACAGATCACATCCGTGATTTATCATAATATTGAGTCAAACATGAAATTGCCTTCTTTGTAGTGCAACAAATGCAACTGCATTTTCAGATGATATTAGGTACTATTAGTAATCATTTTCAACAATGTGAAGTGAAACTTTATCGACAATATCAATTTATACCAGATCCCAGGCACACGAAAATTAGGTATTCTCTGAACTGTCAGTGCTGTCTAAACATGCAAAATGTCTAAGGAGATTTTCATGCTTTTTTTTAAATGCTTAATCTCTGAAAGCACTGAAAGCACTGAAAGCACGACCACTGTCTGCATTATTCAATGTCGGGTGGAAATAACAACTAGATCTAGCCTGTGCTTATCCAGTTTTGATAATATAAAGGTATCCTAAGTGCTAGTCGAATTTCAAACATTTTGTGGTATTGTTATATGTTATAGGCTTGTTTGGGCTTGTAGATGTTCTTGGTTTATTTAGACCGCCTCCGTGGTCTAGTGGTAGAGCGTCCGCCCGGAGAGCGGAAGGTCCGGGGTTCGATCCCCGACCGCGTCATTTCAAAAGACGTTAAAAGATGGTACTTGTTGTTACCCTGTCTGGCGCTCGGCATTAAGGTGCTTAAACAAGGACTGGTCGGCTCGGAGTCAGTATACTGTGTCTGAGTGGGGTATTCATGTTAAACTGCGACATGGTATCTCAGTGAGCTAGCACTATAAATCGGCATCAGTCCGGACTAGTACAAGCAGCCACACAAACACACACACGTACTTGCACGTCGCTATATAAGTGCAATAATCTTGGACGCGACGTTAAACCCCATTTCACCTCACCTCTTGGTTTATTTCAATTCCCGCAGTTGCTAGATTCATGGGAAGACACTCATAGTCTGAACTAAATACCTGTGACTGCGCCTTACTTGCCTTGCCTGGTCCTTTTACTCTTACTTCTTAGGGGCATTCACACGGTACAGCTAGCTGGTAAAAACTGTGTGCAATTAGTTGTATGAACTGAAGTTTGAAATATGAACACTCTGTTAATTGCGGTCGCGCGGCTCTGTGCTAACCTGTGACTTTGCAATCTAACAGCTAGAGATGTATAGTATTATGTTTTCTACCCCATAGTGTAAGATTGAAGACTAGGTGAAAAGCAGGAAGTGTTATAAAATATGTAGATCTACATCGATGCTGACGTATATTAATATGGTATCATGACCGGTCACCTTCCTTTACAATATGGCATGTTCAATGATAGCAGTAGGCGGAATGTTCAGAGTAGGGTTTTCCTTGATCGGGGAGTGCATACGGTATACATAAATGAGTCATGTAACTATCAGAGTGAGTGAGTGTGTTGGGTTTAACGTCACTTTTAACAGTATTCCAGTTATATGGCGGCGTGTCAGCTTAATGTGGGAGGAAAGCCCGAAGTGATGCAGGTCTCAGACGTTTACCACTTCCGTGAAACCCACAAGCACGGGTATGGTGCTGACAAACCTAGAAACATAATCGGGGCCAACGGAGATTCGAACCCACAATCATAGGTTTCTGTCGTGTCCAAGGGACGCAACTCTGCACATCGAATCGCGGCGCCTTAGACAACTGGGTCACCCATGCCCCCACAGACAAATACATGTAGTATACAGAACTGCACAGAACTGTCATCGAATCCATACAGTATTTATCAATAAAGTCATTGAATCGCATCCAGTTAGTGTTGCAAATACTTGCAGCTGTGAATCATTTCCAAAGCTTCAGAGAAAATCCATATGGACCAGTGCATAATAAGCATTTTAAATTGTGCCTTAAAGTCAGCGGGACCTTGTGGCAACCCTAATGTGAAAAGTAAGGAGTCCCGTGGGACTGTTACAAGGATAAAGCAGGGAACCTCAAAGCCGTGCGGGCGTGCATGTGACTGCTTGTACTAGTCTGGACTATCCCACTGAGATACCATGCCGCAGTTTAACATGAATTACCCCACTCAGACACAGTATACTGACTCCTAGCTGACCAGTCCTTGTTTTAGCCCTTAATGCCGGGGGGGGGGCGCATGGGTGGCCCAGTCGTCTAAGGCGCCGTGTCCCTTGGGCACGCCAGAAACCTATGATTGTGGGTTCGAGTCCCGGCTCGCCCCGATTATGTTTCTAGGTTTGTCAGCACCATACCCGTCTGAGACCTGCATGACTTCGGGCTTTCCTCCCACATTGAGCTGACACGCTGTGATATAACTGGAATACTGTTAAAAGTGGCGTTAAACCCAACTCACTCACTCACTCACCCTTAATGCCGAGTGCCAGGCAGGGTAACAACGAGTACCGTCTTTTAGTGTCTTTTGGCATGATGCAGCCAGGGATAGAATCCCAGACTTTTCACTCTCCGGGCAGACGCTCTACCACGAGACCATTGAAGCGGTCCTTTAGCTGAGACAATCTAGACTTGCCATTTCATTCAATACGTGAGCATGTTGAGGTGGATCCAGTTTTTAATTTATTCTCCTGGGTCTGAGAGATAGACTAGTGCAACAGAAGCCTAGAAGACTAGTGTTTCCTAGTCTGACAGTAAATGATGACGTCCTGGTGAAAGTTTTTTTTTCAATGGTACAACAAACCACTACAACATGTACAACTAGGCAAGGCATAAATATTATTCAAAATATTTTATTGTACCAGTCTTTTTCGACCGCCTCCTTGGTCTAGTGGAAGAGCGTCTGTCCGGAGAGAGGAAGGTCCAGGGTACGATCCTCGGCCGTGTCATACGAAAAGATGTTAAAAGATGGTACTTGTTGTTACCGTGTCTGGTGCTAGGCATTAAGGGGCTAAAACAACAACTGGTCGGCTCGGAGTCAGTATACTGTGTCTGAGTGGGGTATTCATGTTAAACTGTGGCATGGTATCTCAGTGAGCTAGCACTATAAATCGGCATCAGTCCGGACTAGTACAAGCAGCCACACAAACACACAAATGTACATGCACGTCGCTATATAAGTGCAATAATCTTGGACGCGACGTTAAACCCAATTTCACCTTACCTCACCTTTATGAAAACTGTTTTGAAACTATTTTCCCAAACATGTCTGTAAGTATCATTATCTGTAGAATTTAATGTACTAGATGGGGGGGCGGTCGGGTAGCCTGGTGGTTAAAGCGTTCGCTCGTCACGCTGATGACCCGGGTTCAATTCCCGAAATGGGTACAAAGTGTGAAGCCCATTTCTGGTGTCCCCCATCGTGATATTGCTGGAATATTGCGAAAAGCAGCATAAAACCATACTCACTCACTCACCAGTTGGACTATTATTAACTGAGCTAACTGGACCGAACAGAATCTGTCTAGACAAGGGCTTCGGAAGAGTGGCTAAAGTTGCAGACTTGTATTTGACCTCTTTGTTTTGTTACTAAACCGACCGTCTATTTGATGCATTATTGGAAATATTGTCAACCTCTATCATAGTATGGGACCTCTTTGTTTTGTTACCAAACTGACCCACTATTTGCTACAGTTTCCGGGATATTGAATTTGCAAGCAATTGTCATAGTGTGGGACCACTTTTGTGATTAAATTGAGGCTGGGGAGCTTGGCAGGAAGTATTGATTCTGAACAGTAACATTGATTGATTCTCACAACATCTGTTTTCATCCCCAGGATATTATTTTCGAAGCTTCTGGTCAATGTGCTCACTTATAGGACTTTTTCCTGTGACATTAATGGACCAGGAATAACAAAATATAGGAACAAGGGATGCACACTGCTCTGAAAAAGTGTTGGGGTTTAGTTAAAACAACAATCTGAAACTTTTAACATAAGGGCCACGACAAGGACCCTGTGCTAAATTTCATGCTTAATTTTGAAACACTGGTTATCAATATCATTAAGTTATTATCTCCTCAAATTTATTGAGATTAATTAATATGAATGGAAAATAATCATGCTAATTGATCACAGATTTCATAAACAATTCCGTTTGGATATTTACTCTTATCAGTCGATCCAATCAAACTGATTCATTGGAACAGTATTATCACAAACGGAAGGCCGTTGTTCTATTTTCATGGGTTGCTGACCTAACCGACCTTTCCCTTGCAGAGCTCCAGACAACTTTTTGAGCAATTGAGGTTTTACTCTAGGGTTTCTATTTTAATCATGTTAATTGGGTTATTACATTTTTCATTGGGTAAGCAATATTTTTTTTACTAATGTATTGATCACTCTATTGGGTTTTTCCTGAAATTAGTAAACATTTTAAGATTTTAAAAAAATGAAATAATGTTTTCGATGCTCGTAACTGTTCTAAATATAGTATAGGCTTGAGTAAATTAGCTCGTAATTGTGTTTCGGAAATTAGCTCCTTTGTACGCTTGCTGGAAAAGCTTCATTGTGTATTTACACATGCTGTTTTTATACACTTGAGTTTTTCATTTAATGCATGCATTTCTTTATGCAAGTTAATTGAAAGTAATTAGGTTTTGAATATATTGGGGGGTAGTTTATGCAAATACGCTGCTTATCTGGAGCTCTGCCCTTGGATATTCCCAGGTTAGGTTAAGCTTAGTCTCCAGCAACTTGTACTGGTTGTAAGAGGCAACTTATCATTGTAGTGGATCAGATGGTCAGTAGGGCATGTGCATTTACATAAAAAAATACCCATAAGAACATATTATATTCATAGATTTCTTCAAAAGACAACACTCTTATAATATTTAATTTGACAGTATTGTGGTCACTGGTCATTGTTGCATTTGAGCAGATACTAGTACCTGGATAAGTGCAGTATATGAATTAATAATATATTAATAATTAACAAACCATGTCAAACAATTTATGTTATTGCCTCCTGAGTATAACAAATAATATATCAACTGCTGACTTTGTATTCGTGAATTAATATTTGTATTCGTTACCCTATAGTCAGGATACGAATCATATTCACCTAATAGTGTATTTGTTGCAGCCCTAGAGGTCAGAAACAGTGACCTGGTTGATTGTGTTTCATTCTACCCTGATAGTATGAATCATTGCTCACAGTGGCAATCACCAGATTTACAATCCAGACTTGATTATTTACAGGCCTCCGTCATATAGCTGGAATATTGCTAAGTGTGGTGTTAAACATGTTAAACAACAAACACACCTAGCCCGCCCCTGGCAATCTGTAGTGCTATATATGTACCATATGTTTCAGTCTTCAGTGTGTGCCAAGATTATGGACCAGCTGGGTCAGGCAGCGGTGGATCATAAATCACGGCAAGTCGTCATCGTATGCCAGGACTCCTTCTACAGAAATCTCACTCCAGACGAGGGCAAGAGAGCCAATAAGGGGGAATTCAACTTCGACCATCCTGGTAACCATGGTTACAGTTTTCAGTGTATATTTGCGTTTTTCACAGATAACCTCTGGTAACTGTAGTTAGTGATTTCATAAAGATTTCATACATGTGAGTAGTGAGTGAGTTGGGTTTAATGCCGCTTTGAACAGTATTCAGTTATATCACTGCGTGTCAGCTTAATGTGGGAGGAAAGCCCCAAGTGATGCAGGTTTCAGACGTTTACCAGTTCAGTGAAACCCACAAGCACAGGATGGTGCAGACAAACCTAGAAACATAATCGGGGCGAACCGTGATTCGGACCCACAATCATAGGTTTCTGGCGTGCCCAAGGGAGGCAACTCCACATGGGGAATTGTGGCCCCCTTACCCCCTTCATGTAAGTGGATGGATAGGTCACAACAGTTTCCATTAAACTAATAATTTATGCAGTTTTTGTCAATTTGTATCCTATTCATTTTAATACGGACCCGTGTAGATCCAGGGTAGAATAGGTCTTCAGCAACCCATGCTTTCCTGTGAAAGACGACTATGCTTTTCGTAAGAGTCAGGCTAGCTGACTTGGTTGATGCATGTCATCGTATCCCAGTTGCGTGGATCGATGCTCATGATGTCAATCACTGGATTGTCTGATTATTTACAGACTTCCGTCACATCGCTGGAATATTGCTGAGCGCGGCATTAAACAACAAACATTTTAATATGATCACACTTTCACTTAAGTTTTTGTTGACTTTATTTTTTATATTTATTCATTAACATATGATTTTTTATGGCAGATTCATTTGACAATGAGCTGATGTTGAAGACAATGAAGGCTATTGCTGCTTGTAAGACCGTGGACATACCCTCGTACAACTATATCACACACTCAAGGTACGACATGTTGATATTTCTTACTATTGGTGATTCTGGGTTGAAAAAAAGGTTCCCAGCAACCTATTCTTGTAATAAGAGGCAACTCAAGGCATTGGGTGATTAGGCTCAGTGATCTTACTGATTGCTCATAATATCAGTCACCGTATTTTCTGGTCCGGACTTGGTGATTTTCAGGCCAAAGCCACAGAGTTGGATTATTGCTGTATGCAGTGTTAGGCAACAAACAAACTCTTAACTACAGTGATCCATCGCTATTGGGCTCTTCGATAAAGCGCTACCTCGGTTACTACGCGCGGTATCGCATGGCTCCCAAAATTTATGTACACTTTTAATACTGAGAGTTTTACACAGCCGTGATTGTATTGTTGTTCGTTGTTCATTTGCACATAGCGCTTCTCATTGCATAATCAACCGTTTATCGCTGAATGGAGTTCTAAAAATCTGTTTGAAAACATCTGCGGCAAGTCCCGGAAATACTAGTTAACTTTTCACACTATACATCCTTTGATCTTAGAAGCGCATGCATGCAATAAAAGAGAACCACAAGCGAAGTTTATTTTCTTAATTAGTGGGCAATCCAATTTGAGGCGACACTGTCAACTCACATGTAGTTGCTGTCACAACACGGCGGTCATTCCTTTTGATTCGGATCAAGTAACCGTATCAAACCAATTAATCTGGCTTGAATGTGTATCTATATTTGCATGAATGTGTATGAATGCGCGTAGTGCTGGTCAAAACTCTTGTTTTCCGTATTTTAAGCAACATGACCAATCAATGCCACTGAATCACTCTGTACTTGTGTAATGAATTGTGATTGGCTCTTCACTCATAGCGTCTGTTACTACCATTATCGATCAATATTTTCAGATTACTGTTTTGATGAAAATTCTGAATAGTCATAGGATGTTTTGACCTCAGGGAGGATCGAGGTCAGGTGTTGTATCCGACTGACGTGGTGCTGTTCGAGGGTATGAACATGATGAATAATCATAGGATGTTTTGTCCTCAGGGATGATCGAGGTCAGGTGGTGTATCCGACTGACGTGGTGCTGTTCGAGGGTATGAAAATGATGAATAATCATAGGATGTTTTGTCCTCAGGGATGATCGAGGTCAGGTGGTGTATCCGACTGATGTGGTGCTGTTCGAGGGTATGAAAATGACGAATAATCATAGGATGTTTTGTCCTCAGGGAGGATCGAGGTCAGGTGGTGTATCCGACTGACGTGGTGCTGTTCGAGGGTATGAAAATGATGAATAATCATAGGATGTTTTGTCCTCAGGGAGGATCGAGGTCAGGTGGTGTATCCGACTGACATGGTGCTATTCGAGGGTATGAAAATGATGAATAATCATAGGATGTTTTGTCTTCAGGGAGGATCGAGGTCAGGTGGTGTATCCGACTGACATGGTGCTGTTCGAGGGTATGAACATGACGAATAATCATAGGATGTTTTGTCCTCAGGGAGGATCGAGGTCAGGTGGTGTATCCGACTGACGTGGTGCTATTCGAGGGTATGAAAATTATGAATAATCATAGGATGTTTTGTCTTCAGGGAGGATCGAGGTCAGGTGGTGTATCCGACTGACGTGGTGCTATTCGAGGGTATGAAAATTATGAATAATCATAGGATGTTTTGTCTTCAGGGAGGATCGAGGTCAGGTGGTGTATCCGACTGACATGGTGCTGTTCGAGGGTATGAACATGACGAATAATCATAGGATGTTTTGTCCTCAGGGAGGATCGAGGTCAGGTGGTGTATCCGACTGACGTGGTGCTATTCGAGGGTATGAAAATGATGAATAATCATAGGATGTTTTGTCTTCAGGGAGGATCGAGGTCAGGTGGTGTATCCGACTGACGTGGTGCTGTTCGAGGGTATCCTGATGTTCTACTGGAAGGACATTCGAGAGATGTTCCATATGAAGCTGTTTGTTGACACAGACCCAGACACCAGGCTGTCTCGGAGAGGTGGGGGAAACGACTTATCATACGAATTGTTTGAGTGGTGTCATATCACTGGTGAAATTATTTCAATTCGTTCTAGTTTTCAGCATTGTTACACATGTTTTCTACGTTTTTTTAATTATTTTTTACGTCATTATCTGCTGACTAGTTGTATCATACATGCTTTGTTTTCTCTTGGGATTTGATCAAAGTTTGGGGAATATGGCTGCCCAATCTGTCTCCGGATGCTGAGACACACCATTCAGTTGTCTTTTAGCTTGCTAGGCTGTCGGACACACACAGAGAAACACACACACACGCGCACACGTACACACACACTCACACGTGTGTGGATGCAGAATGTTATGTTAGAGCAATAAACTTGAACATGACGTTAAACCCCATTACGCGTCACCTGCTTCAGTGTTGCGGGACATCCAGGAGAGAGGCAGAGTGCTGGAACAAATCCTGAATCAATACACCTCCTTTGTCAAGCCTGCGTTTGAGGAGTTCTGTCTCCCGGTGAGTACGTCTTCTTGTTCTAATATGCCCCAAGTTGCCGAAGACCTGGATTCGCTTGCCAAAATAGGTTTTAATTTTTAATGTCACATCCATTCAATTATGACCCCAAAAGTTGTGGTGACTTTCACCTAGATGCAACAAATTCAAGTTCATGTCGTTTCATGAACCCCCAGTGAAAACCTGTGTTAGAATAGGTCTCATCAACCCATGCTTCTCGTAAGAGGCGACTAACGGGATCGGGTGGTCAGGCTTGCTGACTTGGTTGATGCATGTCATGGTATCCTAATTACGTAGATCGATGCTCATGATGTCAATCACTAGATTGTCTGATCCAAACTTGATTATTTACAGACCGCCGTCTTATAGCTTGAATATTGCTGAGTGCGGCGTTAAACGACAAAATATTTATGTATTCAATTGGATGTAGTTATTTTGCCTGATAATGACTTAATTATTAAGATGAGAAATATTGATGAATTGATCATATTGATCTTTATAGATATCTATCATAAATTAGGGGGCACGGGTGGCTCAGTCGTCTAAGGCGCCGTGATTCGCTGTGCAGAGTTGCGTCACTTGGGCATGCCAGAAACCTATGATTGTCGGTTCGAATCCCGGTTCGCCCCAATTATGTTTCTAGGTTTGTCAGCACCATACCCGTGCTCGTGGGTTTCACCGAAGTGGTAAACGCCTGAGACCTACATCACTTCGGGCTTTCCTCCCACATTAAGCTGACACGCCGTGATATCACTGGAATATTGTTAAAAGCGGCGTCAAACCCAACTCACTCACTCACTCACTCTATCATAAATTAAGGTCAGGGCCAATAAGAAGCAGAAGTATTGAACTTCATCAGAATAATAGGTCTGTCCTGTATAACAACATCTTCCCGAGGCAAGAGCGTCCACTAGCCTTTTTATCAAAGACATGTTTCCACCCTTGCCACATCAAGCCCACTTTCCTGTGCTAAATATGATTGGACTATCGTTCATATTGATACAGTCATGCCCCGCTTATAAGGACTTCAGATATCCGGAAACCTCGGTTCCCAGACGATTTTCATTCAAAACGAAATAATTACTATATAAATTTACCTGTATATCCGGAAATTGAGTTTCCGGAACCGGACGGTCATTTTCATACACAAAACACTGAAATGCACACAAAATTGTCTCACTTATCCGGACAATACACTTCCTCTGGTGGTAATCCTTTGATTCGTGAGAAGTCAATTAACCAAGTGACACTGAGTTACGTTTGAGACGAGCTTATTTATTGTACATGTAATACCATTCGATAAATATGGCGTCTGTTGAGGTCAGAGGTCAAAGTTGTGTAAGTATGGCCTGTAAGTATGGCACTGAATTTGGACATACCATAGGAAAATCGACAATTGGTGACAGTTCAAACTTCCATGACAGTCTTTGTCATCTGTCATGAGTTGCATAATTGAAGGGAAGTAACTCTTCCAGTAAGAAGCTGGTTTCAGTAATACGGAAATTCATTTATACGGACAAATTGTGAAATGACGCAAGTGTCCGTATAAACGAGGCACGACTGTAGTCCAATCACAAAATCAACATCCACGGCTGGTACACCTTCGTATGAAAGTGATTTACCACTGCCTGTCTTTGTTGTCATGAATATGTCTTTGTCATCTTTTTAACTCCCCAACGATTGCCTATGTTTTTGTGTCAGGGATGAAATGGCGAACATTTTGTTATTTGATCGAACAGGTCATCTCCTATGGTAGTCACTATCTTAGTGAAGCTATACGAGATAAAACAGCAATCTGATTGGATATCGCGTTTTCATTACAAGGAGCACAACTCGTGACGTACATCACGTGGCGTCAGGGTCGAGCCAAGAAAAGTGGCCTTGGTGTGGCAAGGGTAGAAACTAGGCTTTGATATAGGCTAGTGGACATGCTTGCCTCAGGAAGATGATATAACAACAGCAACAGTTGGTTAAATTATCTGAAGCCGCACTCTCATTTGTCTTCCCTCAAACTTGTTGTTTGCTCTTGGGGGTGGGTAGCCTAATGGTTCAGGCCATAACTCTCCTCGGTGAAGGCACGGGTTTGATTCCCAAGGTGGGGAAATTGCGGGGAGCCCATTTCTGATATCCCTTACTGTAATATTGCTGTAATGTTGCCAAAAGCAGCGATAAACCATACTTACTTACACTCTTTACTCTAATTCGCTCGCTCGTCACGCCGAAGACCCGGGTTCGAATCCTGACATTGGTACAATATGTGAAGCCCATTTCTTGTGTCCTCCACCGTGATATTGCTGGAATATTGCTAAAAGCGGCGTAAATCAAAACTCAGTCACTCTTTACTCTAATTAACATGATAAAAGGCTAATACATGTACCTTGGAATGCCTTGTGGCGTTTGATTAAGTTAGTTTGAGCTATATTTTGCAAATCATTTTTAAGTTACCTTGTTGCATTGTCTGTTGTGTTTGTTTCGTTATATTGTATATTTGTCATCATTGCAGACAAAAAAGTATGCAGATGTCATTATACCAAGAGGAGCTGAAAACACAGGTGAGGGTTGTAACACTATCTAATCATTGCCATTGCTAATCCCTATCATAATACTGTACATTGAAAAGTAGAAGGTGTACATATATTTATAAAATGGAACCTGCTTTAACCATAAGGGGTGAAACGATACATCAAGGTCACGATACGATACATATCACGATACGATACGTATCACGATACGTATCACGATACATCGATCATGATTTGTATTGCAATGCACGTATTTATGTCAAATCGTATGAAATGTTTTGACTATTAATATTTCAGATCAATTTCAAAAGTTGAAGCTTACTGTAGACAAATGTTCGTAGCAGTATATGGTATCGTCCCATGAAAACTTTCGTTTCACCCCTGTTAACTATGTTACTGGACTTGTGTGGGACTGAAAGTAATACAATCTCATTAAAATCAGATCTTAGTTCTCGCTATCGCTTAACAAAGATCTGAGGACATCCCATTAAGGGTCACGTCAGAACGACCTTTCATCCAACCAATCAGAGCGTCGCTTACCGGATCATGAAAGTGACAGTCGGAATGTGATTTCTAATCATGCAACCACGAAATATTTAACACGGGGTATTCCGAACGACAGTTTTATGATTATATCCATACAATCTAGGCCATCTATAAGCCATTCCAGAATATTCTTCTTTTCAGTTTTAATCGCGAATACGTCAAAATATGTTTCGAAGCGTAGTCGCCAGTTTGAAACTATTGTCGTAAAGCTCGAGAAAGCTGTCTTCTGATTGGTTAATGTCGATTTCTTGTCGGTCATTTCATTGGTCGGTCAAATTTTGCGAAAGGTCGCTCTGACGTGACCCGTAATGGGATGTCCTCAGATCTTTGTTTAGCTGTAGCAAAAACTAAGATCGGATTTTAATGAGATTGAAAGTAATACTGTGTATAAACAGGTCTGGATAAGTTAGGTAATCACGGGCGATATTTCCTTGCTTCTATTAACAAACAAGATCAGAGACACATGAATAACAATGTGTTATTCAATATGTAATTAAAGCCTGTTGCCTGTATTTATTACATGTCCATATGTATTGAAGAAGTATCCTACCAATCCATTAATAAAACACTTTATGGTTTTGGCAAATATTCATTTTAAACTTGATAAAGCTTGGCACGTTTAAGTGTCTACTGGAGAATTTGGGCAAATGAAATTTTTCTTTTTCCCTCAACATGCTCAAGGTCCGTGAACTAACTGACCAGGAGTTTTATAATATTCTTAATGTACGTGCAGCTTGAGTGGCACTGTTATTCCAGTTAGAATTGGTCCCCAGCAACCTGTGCTTGTCGTGTGGATTCCGGGTTAGAATAGGTCTCCAGCAACCCATGGTGGTCGTTGGGATTCCGGGTTAGAATAGGTCCCCAGCAACCTGTGCTTGTCGTGTGGTTTCCGGGTAAGAATTGGTCCCCAGCAACCTATGCTTGTCGTGTGGATTCCGGGTTAGAATTGGTCCCCAGCAACCTATGCTTGTTGTGTGGATTCCGGGTTAGAATTGGTCCCCAGCAACCTATGCTTGTCGTGTGGATTCCGGGTTAGAATAGGTCCCCAGCAACCTATGCTTGTCGTGGGGATTCCGGGTTAGAATAGGTCCCCAGCAACCTATGCTTGTCGTGGGGATTCCGGGTTGGAATAGGTCACCAGCAACCTATGCTTGTCGTGGGGATTCCGGGTTAGAATAGGTCCCTAGCTACCTATGCTTGTCATGGGATTCCGGGTTAGAATAGGTCACCAGCAACCTATGTTTGTCGTTGGGATTCCGGGTTAGAATAGGTCCCTAGCTACCTATGCTTGTCGTGGGGATTCCAGGTTAGAATAGGTCACCAGCAACCTATGCTTGTCGTGTGGATTCCGGGTTAGAATAGGTCCCCAGCAACCTATGCTTGTCGTGGGGATTCCGGGTTAGAATAGGTCCCCAGCAATCTATGCTGGTCGTGGGGATTCCGGGTTAGAATTGGTCCCCAGGAAGCTGTGCTGGTCATGGGATTCTGGGTTAGAATTGGTCCCCAGCAACCTATGCTGGTCATAGGATTCTGGGTTAGAATAGGTCCCCAGCAACCTATGCTGGTCGTTGGGATTCCGGGTTAGAATAGGTCCCTAGCTACCATAATCTTGTCATGCGATTCTGGGTTAGAATAGGTCTCCAGCAACCTATGCTTGTCGTGTGGATTCCGAGTTAGAATAGGTCCCCAGCAACCTATGCTGGTCGTTGGGATTCCGGGTTGGAATAGGTCCCTAGCTACCTATGCTGGTCGTGGGGATTCCGGGTTAGAATAGGTCTCTAGCAACCCATGGTGGTCGTTGGGATTCCGGGTTAGAATAGGTCCCTAGCTACCTATGCTGGTTATGGGGATTCTGGGTTAGAATAGATCCCAAGCAACCTGTGCTTGTCGTGTGGATTCCGGGTTAGAATAGGTCCCTAGCTACCTGTGCTGGTTATGGGCATTCCAGGTTAGAATAGATCCCCAGCAACCTGTGCTTGTTGTGTGGATTCTGGCTTAGAATAGGTCCCTAGCTACCTATGCTGGTCGTTGGGATTCCGGGTTAGAATAGGTCCCCAGCAACCTGTGCTTGTCGTGTGGATTCTGGGTTAGAATTCGTCTCCAGCTACCTATGCTGGTCGTTGGGATTCCGGGTTAGAAGAGGTCCCTAGGTACCTATGCTGGTTATGGGGATTCCGGGTTAGAAGAGGTCTCCAGCAACCTGTGTTGGTCGTAAGAGGGGAAGAAATGGATTGGGTGGTCAGACTCGGTGGCTTGGTTGATTGTGTGTCATTATACCCTAACGACATGGATTGTTGCTCACATTATTGATCACCGGATTGTCTGGTCCAGATGCAGATACTTACAAGCAGTCATCACATGGCTGGGATATTGCTGAGTGTAGCGTTAAACAACAAACAAACATGAATTATTATTTGACAAAGAATTGTGGAGAGTGTAGTAGGGGAGGTAATAAGGTTGAATTGTGTATTACCTCCCTTGAATTGCCTTTCAATGGCCATGCCAAGAATTTAAGAAAATGCAGCAAGCATAGTTATGTTATTGATTACTTGGTTAATGGATAATGGAAAGAATATCAATGTATTCAAGTAAGGTCATTAATATAGGAAAGGAAATCACCATTTGACTTTCAATTGAAAAGCCAATAATTTTGTTTGATTTAGTTTGACATCCTGGACATTTTCTCTGAAAAGATGTTTACATGTGAAAGTCTGTGATCCAAATAATAACAAAGAGATAATAGGCCTAACTGATCATGAATTACTATGTCTTGCTATGTTGGTTGGTTGGTTGGTTAGTTGTTTTACGCCGCACTCAGCAATATTCCAGCTATATGATGGCGGTCTGTATAAATAACTGAGTCTGGACCAGACAATCCAGTGATTGATATCATGAGCATCGACCCACGCAATTTGGATCGATGACATTCATCAACCAAGTGTCTTGCTATGTTATCTCAGACAAATATTTTTCTAAGTGAGTTACAATGATCAAGACAGTCATTGTATATAATGCCACAGTGAAGATAGTGTTCAATATGAATATTCTGTCAATGTGGCATTTCATACCGTTGCCAGTACCTTCATCAAACAAGTGGTGAAACTTTCCATCCTCTCTCTCTCCAGGGCTCCTGGGCCCATCTCCCTGGTTCTCGCAATCTCAAATAACCCGCAGGGGCGGTCGGGTAGCCTAGTGGTTAAAGCGTTTGCTCGTCACGCCGAAGACCCGGGTTCGATTCCCGACATGGGTACAATGTGTGAAGCCCATTTCTGGTGTCCCCTGCCGTGATATTGCTGAAATATTGCTAAAAGCGGCGTAAAACCGTACTCACTCACTCACTCACTTCCCTGTACTAAATGTATTGATAAAATAAAGACATTGAAATTTCGAAGTCAGACCAATCTTCATTTGCTGATTGTTGTCATTGTATGGAGAGTGATGCTCTCTCTTGTGTCTGGTCCAGTGTGGTCCTATTTGCACCGGCCTCTGTGATAGAACTGGAATATTGCTGACTGCGATGTAAACAACACTCCCTCACTAACAATATGTGTTGATGTTTCAGTGGCCATTGATTTGATCGTGCAGCACATACAGGAGTTGATGAAACCGACGAACACTGCCAAACGAGTGCGACACAATTCTGACTCGTACGTCGGGCGACCACACTGAAGTTTTGCTCATGGACATTTAAGCTGTGTGAAAGTGATGGAGGGTGTATACAGTGTTGATCATATTGATATATATCGATATGTCCATGTATCGATACAATGTTGATACATCAGTGAATTGTATTGATTCAGTGTTGATCATATTGATATATATAAATCGATATGTCCTTGTATTAATACAATACTGATACATCAGTGTCAGTTGTATCGATACAGTGTTGATCATATTAATGTATCGATATGTCCTTGTATTGATACAATACTGAATACATCACTGTCAATTGTATCGATACAGTGTTGATCATATTGATACATCGATATGTCCTGTATTGATACAATGTTGATACATCAGAGTTCCCTTGTACTGAGATGTTGCCAATATTGTATCCCTTAGCATGATGGGAATATCAATGCTGATATGATGAGGAAAGACTACTTATTTTATTTTAAAAAAATTTCTACCTTCAATGGCTAGAATACATAACACGCCAAGAGGTAACCATGGTAACGGAACAAAACAAACCCAATTTGGATGCCATGGTTTCTGAGAAAGCCCTCTTGAAATGAAAGTTTAGAAACACAAAGAGATGTAAAAAGTAACAGAGTTTTTTAATCCTATTTATTCTCCTTTTCACTTGTTTTAATTTTTCAATATGTGCTGCAGACTTGTCAATAAAAGAGGAAAACTGGTTATTCTTGCCTTATAACACTTGAACTCTTATTGCTTGACTGATCTGACTTTCATAGACAATACATTGTGTTTAATCAATTTGTATACAGTTCTTGTAAAGAAACATGCCAATGAAAATGACAGATGATAATGTAACAATAACTGAACATTAAAACAAAACTATTGTTAGCTACCAGAGTTTGTCTCTATCGTATCATTCATGGTTGTATCAGTATATTGTGAGATATGTTTCTGTCACGTTTTCGATACTGAAATGTCTTGTCCATGACCGCCCTGCTATGTTGTACCTTATGAATATAACAAGGAAGTATTCTGGACGTCCAGATGACTGTGTCATGACACAACCAGTTACAGTGAAACCCTGGTAATCTGGACTGTAACATTCTCTGTGAAATCATCTGGATTAACGAATCTCTTGATTCACATGGTTTCACTCCAAAGCCTGTTAATCTGGAGAGTGTCATTTGCTGCGAAATTGTCTGGATTAACAATTGTCTGGATTAATCATCCTGAATGAGGGGTTTCCATATAAACAGGGTCCAGGGATAACAGGGATTAACTACGGAGGTTTCACTGTCTTTAGACTCCCAAGAGTACATAATATTTCAAATAAGTGAGGTGATTTTAAAGACAATAAAATGAGAAGTGATATTTATACTACTCCAAAGAAGTTAAGGATCACCCTATTCTTTCATATTGGTAATGCTAATCTGTCATGGCATTAGAGATTAACTATTGTAATATGAAAGAATCAGGTGATCCTTAACTTCTTTTGAGTAGTATATTAGAATTGTTTTCAAATTTGTTCAGATTGTGTGTGTATATCATCCTGTTATAGATGCTATGTTACAACATGGCATATAGTCTGGATGACAGCCTGGGATGTCCCTTGCTGCTAGCTATATTGCTCAACTTTTGATTGGGACAAGGGATTTATCTAGGATCTTAAATTGAGTACCCATTGCAGGCATTTTGTGAAAAGAGCATTATTCGGTGCAAAATTGGGTTTTTATTAGAATTTCTTATTTCCTTAAGTCCAGAAATATATGAAACAGTGTTAAGGTAAGTATGCTGTTGTGAGTATGATGTGTGAAAGATGCTGCTCCACTTGTGATAGGGATGGACATCTTCCCGAAGCAAGGGAGTTAAATGACATTCAAAGTTCAGTTTCCTCCCTTGCCAAACTAGGCTCGAATTTGGGAGTTATATTTTGGCAGGACTGACAAGACTATACTTAGTCCAATCAAAATCTCGTAAGGAAATTGACATCAGGTTCCTTTTCCAAATTTTTTCATGTTTTTTATCAAGGTGCTCACATGATTTGATGTACTTTGAGAAGTAAGACCCATTTTATTACAATATAGTTATTGATTATCGATTAGATCGACCGCCTCCATGGTCTAGTGGTAGAGCGTCCGCCCGGAGAGTGGAAGGTTCGGGGTTTGATCCCCGGCCGCGTCATACCAAAAGACGTTAAAAACTGGTACTTGTTTTTACCCCGTCTGGCGCTCGGCATAAAGGGGCTAAAACAAATACTGGTCGGCTTGGAGTCAGTATACTGTGTCTGAGTGGGGTATTCATGTTAAACTGCGGCATGGTATCTCAGTGAGCTAGCACTATAAATCGGCATCAGTTCGGACAAGTACAGGCAGCCACACACACACACATGCATGCATGGGCTATATAGGTGCAATAATCTTGGACGCGACGTTAAAACCAGTTTCACCTCACCTCCAGCCTAGTTCGGCAAGGGTGGAAACTTGACTTTTACAGTCAGTTACCTCCCTTGCCTCGGAAAGATGGATGACCCACAAAACTGATTGTTATATGTGAAGTGTATATATAAATAGAATGACGTTATGGCTAAATAAAATATTAGCCTGGGTTCTCAAGCACCTCCTGCATCATCACAAAGTCAGTCGCACGTTGCGTTTTTATTTCCATTTTCCCCAAAAATATAAAAATCCTAAGTTACACAGTTACTTCCCATTACTGTGCATATCACGTTTTGGTCATGGTGGCAATAGAAGGTTGTACTCTTGTTTATATAGGGAGGCCCTTTCCCAGGTTGATGGTACACAACTGTTTATATGGGTACATACTAGTTTGAACAGGCAAAACAGGCAAAAAAAACAACCCTAAAAACACCTTCTGCCCGCCCGCACTATATTTTCAAAAGTCATTGCCTGAGAACCAATTATTTTATTTTTTTAAGCCTGTCTGATTATCACAATCCAAAATTAAGTAGTAAATATACTTTGCACAGCTGAAACACAGCTGGGATACTTTACCTACATTTGTAACCCTGGTTATAGAAGAGGTAGCATACACTAGCCTCTGAGAATGCCAAGATAAATCCCTTGTGATACTGAGATGTGTGTCCCTTATGTATCATTGAGTAACAGGAATATCCCTCTCAAAGTTGAACAGTGTACGGCTATTTCTATCATGATTCTGACTTGTCTGATCTTGTTCTTGTCTAATACAGCCATTTCCAATCGGTTTCATGATTAAGGCCAGATTAATTTTTATAATGTTTCTCTGGATTACATAAGCAGCCAGGGGGAAAATGAGAATATAAATGACTTTAAAAATGCATCCTATGCATGTTGTTTCATTATGTTGTTACATCATTTGAATTCCGGGGTAGAATAGGTCTTCAGCAACCCATGCTTGGCATAAAACTAAGGCAACTAAGGGGATTGAGTGATCAGGCTCGCTGACTTGGTTGATGCATGTCATTGATCCCAATTGCGTGGATCGATGCTCATGATATCAATCACTGGATTATCTGGTCCAGACTCGATTATTTACACACCGCCGTCATATAGCTGGATTTTGCTGAGTGCAGCGTTAAACAGCAAACCAACCAACATTAATTGAATACATGTCATGTCAAGGGTCAATGTCATAGCCAATAAAAATTACCATTTTCACTGAAATGCCTCTTCTGGAGATATCTTGAAGTCTTATTCATGTAGTTGTTATACTATCTGAATATATGTCATGTTAAGGTCAAGGTCATCTTTAAGGTCATAGCCTAAGGAAAAAGTTTTGTGTACACCTAGATTCAGATATGTCTTTCACGGCGCAGAGACAAGATTACTAAAGACCATGAGTTACCTGTGGTGAAGATCAAAGTCACGGTGAAGGTCATTGATATGTAAAATGTATGTTCGCCATTTTCAATAAAATGCCTCTTTCTGCTGAGTCGTACGCAACAATTTGTGTATGACAAGTGAAGGTGACCTACTTTCGATGAGTCACATATGCCATATTATTGTTGTTATACTAAATTCCACCAAGGGCCATCATATTTGGTTTATATGCTGGATATGAATGATCTTAAAATAAGTACACCTGATTTTGAAGGTCAAATTCACTCTCAATGTCAAATGATACCAAATTTGTTATGTTCACAAATACTCAAGAATCGAAGTCGTAAGGTTCATTGAAGGTCAAGGTTGCTGAAGTGGTCATTCGTATGGTAGTTCTGCTTCTTTGTGTACTGAACGACCCCTGGGTTTGAATTTGTAAGAGCTTATGCCCCTGTTTTGGGCAGAGGGTCAAGGTCATTAAACCAGAAGTGCATATTGCTTTCTTGTTATGGTAGCTAGAGGCATTGGGCGTTCTGTTTTAAAGTTGTTTTCCAATAGATATGTGTTTTCCCAAACTGGAAGGGATGTCACTAATCTGGAAGTGTTTATTTGAGGGTACCTAGAGGCACATGATCGAGGTTGTACTGCATTTGACTGCCTTCGGGATCAAAGATGAATACAGATAGTTTTTGGTGGCATCATCTGTCACCTGATGTGGTATAGTCAAAATGGTTCATGATAAATGGTTCTGCTGTTGAAGCGGTGGGCCAGTCAAGAAAAGGTAGATATTGGGCTGCTTTTTTAGCATATAATGCTGACGCCTATATAGTGATAACACTGCATTTTTTATGTTACTGTTGCCATGTTTTCTTCTGTATAATACATACCCAGCTTTTGGGGGGTTTAGTTTTGTGTGTTTATGTGTGTCCCCACACTCAGTTCACCCCAGTCTTTTCTGGAGGGAGTGGATGAGAACAAACAGGGTCAAAATGTCAATGTATCCAAAGGCTTTGAGATAAAATGGCTATGAGACTTCTTTTGGGGACCTGTAAAATAAGCAATTAGATTTGTCTGGCCTAATGCATCTCCTTGAACTAAATTCCCTAACTGCATCAGGCATGCTGGTGGCCCAGTGGTCTCTGGTGCTCAAACTGAATCAGGCACAGTTGGTCTCTGGTGACATCTACATCAGGTGTGCAGCTGGCCCAGTGGTCTAACTTGCCCTAACTGCATCTGGGGTGCAGGTTGCCTCTGGTTCTCTAATGGTCTTTGGTGCTCTAACAGCCTCAGGGTTGCAGGTGGCCCAGTAGTCTAGGGTGCACTAATTGCATCAGGGTTGCAGGTGGTTGGGTCTTCTCGGGTGCCCTAGGGAGTCCCTATCTGTATCAGGGGTGCAGGTGGCCCGGTGGTCAAGGGTGCACTAATTGCATCAGGGTTGCAGGTGGTTGGGTCTTCTAGGGTGCCCTAAGGAGTCCCTATCTGTATCAGGGGTGCAGGTGGCCCGGTGGTCAAGGGTGCACTAATTGCATCAGGGTTGCAGGTGGTTGGGTCTTCTAGGGTGCCCTAGGGAGTCCCTATCTGTATCAGGGGTGCAGGTGGCCTGGTGGTCAAGGGTGCACTAATTGCATCAGGGTTGCAGGTGGTTGGGTCTTCTAGGGTGCCCTAGGGAGTCCCTATCTGTATCAGGGGTGCAGGTGGCCCGGTGGTCAAGGGTGCACTAATTGCATCAGGGTTGCAGGTGGTTGGGTCTTCTAGGGTGCCCTAGGGAGTCCCTATCTGTATCAGGGGTGCAGATGGCCTACTGGTCTCAGGTGCCCTTAATGCATCAGGGGCACAGGCAGGTGGGCTGGTGTTTTAGGGTGCCCTGACAATTAAAGGTGACAGGCTTCAGGCTTTCTCCAGCACCAACTGACAAGACGTGAAAAAGCAGACATATGTTCACATCGTCATTAAACCGAACTCACTCACTCTAGTCATGTTAGACTGTTTCAAGCTCTGTGTCAACACGTCAAAGGCATTCAACAACTGCTGGTGATATTGTATTAAGACAAAGCTTCACTTTAACAACCGTTACAAGTCATGATTGGTGTGGACAATGCCTTCATGTAGTACACACGTGGGGATTTTGGGAGAGAATATAGGTCCCCTTCCCATGCTTGTCATATGAGGAAACAGACCCGTGAAGATCCGTGGAAGAATAGGTCTTCAGCAACCCATGCTTGCCGTAAAAGGCGACTCTGCTTGTC